TTAGCTGTTCCAAAAACTGCATTATACTAATTATTACATAATTTAAATATTCTGGGTCCACGTATGACCATCATTGTAAAAAAGTTGTTTATGAACACAACCAAAAAAAGTAAATTCAAAGAAAAACAAGTAAGAAGTCAATATTCGCCTTTGCCGAATATTATATACCCTTCATCATATGGTGTTTAAAAAAAAGATTAATTTTATAAAATTTCAATTTATTTCATTTTCTCGACTCAACAACAAAACAAGAAGCAACAAGTTTTCCGCCAAACGGTACAAAACACAAAAACAAAATACGCAGAGCAATAGAACCAACACACAACCAAACAAACGTTTTTTGTTGTTGCTTTTCTGTCAAAGCATGCAAAAAAATGGTATTTTTTAATGAAATTTTTAGAGATTGTCTGGGATTTTTGCTCATATCTCCGTTATTTGTGAAGGGATTTTTCTGATTTTAAATAGGAAACACCGCGAATGCATGGCTGACAGAATTATTCAAAATTTGAATTACGAAGATATCTGGGGTCTTCAGAAAATTGATTTCAACAGATACACAGACGGACAGACAGACAGACAGACAGACGTACGGACGGACGGACATAGCTTAATCGACTCCGCTATCTACAGAGTATATACTTACAAACGGAATGACAAACTCATGAAGTTGAAGTGTATAAAAATGAAACACAATGGTCCTTTCATTACAAACTACTTAACCCAAAAACTAATATTACTCTGAACGACCCAACAGTTCGAAACTGCTGCTTTAATCTTGCAATTTTCTCTTCCTCTTCATTTAAAAGTAGAACTTGTACTTACATACATTGTGTATAAATGTATTTTGATTGAATTTTACTATTACAATTATTACTGTTGTAGTTTCTTTACATTTCCGAGTACTTAAACTTTTTTTTTTAAATGAAATTAATAGAAAGTGTGAGTAAATAGCAATAAGTTTTTGTAGAATACAACTTTTCTATTCATAAATTTTTTTTAGTCTGTTAAGTAAAACACTAACAAAAAAAAATATACTTTTTTTTCAACATATATCTATCTATCCATCTATCTAAGCAAACACATGTATCAGTGTCAAGTTTTTCTCTTTTGTTGCAATTGCTGCTGCCTCATTGCTACTGCTGCAGTTGGTAGCAACAATAACTCTGAGTGTCAGTGTCAGAGTTACGGGATTACTACTGTAGTAAAAACAAATATTTTTTATACCCTACACCACTTTAGTGGGGAGGGTATATTGGATTTGTGCTGATGTTTGTAACATACAAAAATATTCGTCCTAGACCCACCTTAAAGTATACCAATCGGCTTAGAATCGTTTTCTGAGTCGATTAAGCTATGTCCGTCCGTCCGTCCGTCTGTCTGGCAGGCCGGCTGGCTGTCCATGTAAACCTTGTGCGCAAGGTACAGGTCGCAATTTTCAAGATAATTGGATGAAATTTGGCACGTACGTTTTATTTGACCCAAGAACGAAGCCTGTTGAAAATGGTTAAAATCGGTCCATTATTTCACCTAGCCCCCGAAAAGGGCTTTTGAGCTCATAATTATGTTAAATATACAGATATATCGATAAAATGCGGCGCAACTATGTTTTATAGAAGTTTGGATGACCCTGCCAAATTTCATAAAGATCGGGCCCCATTTGACCCTAGATCCCATACAAAGTCCCCTTCAGAAAATTACTTGAATGTCCCAAATTAAACACAAATATCGCGATGAAATTTAGCACAATAAAATATTATGTAAATATAAATATATTCACAAAATTTTATCAGGCTTGGTCCATATTTGCCCCTAGCCCCCATATAAAGCCTCTTTCAGAAAATTAGTTTTTCATCCGTAAATTGCTTAAATGTATCGGAACAAGGGAATATTGAAGATAAATGCTTTATTATGAAAAATAAATCACATTTAATATTCATAACTGGTGTAGGGTATTATATGGTCGGCCACGCCCGACTATACTTTCTTACTTGTTTTCTATTGAAATTTTTTTTCTTTACAAATTGTATTTCTTTTTTTGTGTAGAAATTGAAAAAACAAAATTTTAGAAAAAAAACAACAAAAAATGTTTTTACCAATGTAATATTAAAAGATTAATGATGATGACATTTTGTAACTACAGGTAAAAAAAAATGAAAAAAAAAAAATTTTTTTGTTTGAAAAAGCTGATTGAAAGAGTAATCATATTGAATAGAATCAAATTGTGTAGGATGCAATTTTGCTGCAATTTGCAAAATATATTGTTTGATGTTTTTATGTGTTTTTTTTACACTCCTGTAGAAATATATAATGAGAAAATGTCGTATAAAAATAGTTTTATGAGTTAAGGTATTTAAGTTGCTCTCTCTACATGCTGTGAATCCTGTGAATCCGCACATCGAATTTTGTGTAGCTATTTGCTCTAATATTCGGATTATCTAGACATTCTATCTGGAATCAATATTTCAAAGTTTTCGATATATTCCGATGATTGTAATGAATCCTCCAATGTATCGAGTATACATTGACGACGTGTCCTATAATCAGTACCAAGTTTTTGCTGGAATATTTTCTATGTATTGTGGTATTGAAATTAAAGATTTACATATTTACATATTTTTATAGAATACATTTTGCATATAAAATCTGGATTAACTTTTTTTCTTTCCTATAAAATCAATGAATATTCAAACGAATATTTTATAAGGATACTAATTGCTCTTTTAAAAACACAATAAGGATGTAACATTTTGTAAATATTTCAACTTGTCAACTACATATTGTAAATAAAGTACAACTTTTGTCATAGAAGTACAATAGAAACTGTTTTTGTAATCCATAACTTGTTTATACAATAAGAAATATATAGCATTTGTTATCATTTTGTAATTACTTACTTTTCATTATTGTGGTCATACTGTTTGCATTACTTAGAAGGAGTATGCAATGACTTACAAATAACTATATATATATATATATATATAAGTACTTGCTTTGAAGCCTTGACATTTTGTTTTCAAATATTATTTCTTTATTGCAAAAAGAAAAATTATATATATTTTTGTGAAAACTAGACTCAGTGGACATATCCTCGTAGGCAATTTTTTCTCAAAATCTAAACTACTTTATTCTATGTTATCAAGCGATCGTAGTAAGTTCTTATTGAACTAACAGTTTACTTTTCAATGTATGAAATGAAATAGTCTCGAATTTTAAACAAATAAGAATTTATAGTTGGGCATTGTTGGCCATATGATACCCTACATTATTATGATTATGTTAAAAATGTTGATTATTTTTTTTAACAATAAAGTGTTTAACTAAATTTTTACCTTAATTCAGAAATATGTTTGTTTACCAAAAAGCGATTCTCTAAATGAGGTATTATATGGAGACAAGGGAGGCCCATCCTTATTCATTTTGGTAGAGGGGTTAAGGTTAGGTTAGTGATATTAGTGTTTATATCAATCAAGTCATTTTCTGAAGGGTACTTTGTATGGGTAAGAGGGTCAAATGAGGCCCGATCATTACAAAAATCAGCAGTATCATTAAATTAAAACTTATATATATTTATGAGCATATTTATTCGGGGGTACGGTTGTATGGGGGCTATCCGAAATAATGGACTGATTTTAACCATATTCAATAGGCTTCAACATTGTGTCAAAAGAAAAGCATAGTTTACATGGATACACAGACAGACAGATGGACGGATGGACGGAAAGACAGACAGGCGGATATAGCTAATTCGACTCAGAAAGTGATTCTGAGCCGATTGGGTGTTACAAACATCAGCACAAAGGCATAATACCCTCCCCACTACAGTGGTGTAAGGTATAAAAACTTAATATTTTGAAAAAAAAAACAGTTTAAATTTTAGTTTCGAGAACATTTAACATATTTTTGAGCATATTTATTCGGGGGTACGGTTGTATGGGGGCTATCCGAAATAATGGACTGATTTTAACCATATTCAATAGGCTTCAACATTGTGTGAAAAGAAAAGCATAGTTTACATGGATACACAGACAGACAGATGGACGGAAAGACAGACAGGCGGATATAGCTAATTCGACTCAGAAAGTGATTCTGAGTCAATTGGGTGTTACAAACATCAGCACAAAGGCATAATACCCTCCCCACTACAGTGGTGTAAGGTATAAAAACTGAATATTTTGAAAAAACACAGTTTAAATTTTAGTTTCGAATACTGTTTGATAATGTCCATGTTTTATATGTAAATAAAGGAAAATTTGCTCATCCTTCAACCTTGTTAACCATTAACAAACTTATCGCCTAAAAACTTTTTATATACTTTATATCACTCAACTGTTCATTGGGTTATTCCCATATCTATCTATTTAAGTATTTAAGACACAAAATTATTAGAGCATGTAAAAATTTTCATTTCTTTTCAATTCATATCTGGTTATATTATTTTTTTTTATTGAAAATTGCAATCAATATATACTATGTGAAAGGAGATTTTGTTAGGAAAATCAACATAAATATAAAGAAAATTATTTGTTCAAATAGAAAATCAAAAATTTCTCAAAAATTAATTATTACAAAATATTTTCTATTTTCAAATATTCAAACTGAATTGAACTGAAATCAAAGATAAAAAGTGCAATAGAATGTATACAATAGTGCTATTGTTGTTATTGTTGATGATGACTATGAGTTGTTAAAGTAAAAGTGCTGTTCAATTTGTTGTAGAATTATTTGTTGCACGAGTACAGATACTACTACATAACATAGTTGTTATTTGTATGTATATGTAATTATAACTAGTATGCTGTGCATAACATACACAGATACATACACATACATACATACATGTATAAGAAAATAATAATAATAATTATAATTAAAAGTATATTTAAGTAAGGACTATATAGAATGTATCTAGATACATATAGCATGTAAGTAGTATTTATGTTTATATGTATATATATTTGTTTTATAGCAAATAGTATGTAATGGAAGAAAATATAACTTACCCGTATTATTTTCTGGTCATGCATTATTTTGCGCACACAATTCACCAGGAATGTTATGACCATGCCACCCAATATTAAACCAAATACTGTAATAATAATAGTCATATGTTCTGATTGACCATTCTCACCAACCTGTAAAATAATTATACAAGAAATAGAAGAGAAAATAATAGTAATGATAAAAATGGCAAACATTTTTTTATATAATAACTAAATATAAGTTCATATTAAGGACTAAGTTAAGTTTTACTATAATAAAAACCTGATCTTGTATGATAAATATGTTCTATAGTGGACCGATCTTTATCCAGAGTGATCAAAGTGATTAATTTGTTTTAAGATCATTTAAATGATCTCCTACTTAAGTCTAAATTGTATTTCTTAGTAATTAAATTGTTTTATGTAGTTAATTTTCTACGCAACTTAACTACACTTAGTCCTTACATCCGCTCACTCTAATCCAAATAAAGAAATAAAAAATTCTATGTTTATATTTTCAATTGAGAAATTGTTTTGAAAACTGTTGTAGCACGTAGTTAAAAATACAATTGAAATAAATTGTTAAAAGTTAAAATTGAGCTACAAAATAAATATTAAAAGACAGACAGATAGACAATTGGCCAAATCTTTAAAACCTTTAAATGAAAACAGAATAATCAAAGACTTATCAGTAGTATTCAGAAAAGCTTAATAATGTTATTGACGGTTTATTATATGAATTTTGTTTGTTCGTTAAAATTCAGCAAGTAAATTTGAAAAAGAAACAAAAGTAGATAATTTAGTAAACTGCGTAGATATTAGGTAAATAAGCTATGTTTATGATTCTTGCAGCTCTTTTGTTGAGTGTGTTGTTGGAGAACAGGACAGTTATTTTAAATGAATATCTAGTCTATCGTTGTTATGTAGGAAAAACATGTTTTCCTAAAGACAAAAATTGTAGTCCCTAAATATACATACTTGTTAGAATTACTTTTGTAATTTTTAAAGTCAACATCTCACTGTCGATTCTGAACATCTTCAAATACTAAGAGTAAAACATTTCGCCCACACAATCTATCTTCTATCTACATATATGTATATATAAAAATGAATGTGTGTTTGTTTGTATGTGTATATGTTTGTATGTTTGAACGTTATAGACGCTGAACCAATTTTCAAATTTTCACAGTGTATTCCTGTATATCTGTAATAGATAGAGGGCGAGGAGCCACGCCCATATTAAGAAAATATTAAATCCGTATATTTGAGATAATATAACACATAGAGTCCTCAAATTTTGTCGGAGCCACTTTAGTGTCAATAAAATTAGTTAGGACAAAAAGTAGGCGGAATAGCATTGAGGGGCTTGGCACCTCCCATATATATTAAATACAAAACTTGGAAACTATTACAGCTAGAATCCTCAAATTTTGCTCGAATAACTTTAACATTTAAACATTTTGGATATTAAATTGGCGGACTACCCATGAGGGGAGCGACACCTTCCATATTAATTAAATACAAAAATTCGTTTATCTGGGAAACTAATGAAACTAAATTCTTAAAATTTTGCACGAAGAACTTAAATATCCATCTAAACATTTTGGAGGAAAAAAAGCGGACTTTCATCTGGGGGTGCTTTAAGCCTTCATATGAATTAAATAGAAAAATTCGTATATCTGAGAAATTATTAGAGCTAAAATCTTAAAAATTTAACTTGAAGAATCTTGACATTCATCTGAACATTTAGAGTATAACGGGCAGACTTTTAATGGGGAATTTGGCACCTCCCATATGAATTAAATATAAAATCTCGTTTATCTGGGCAACTAATAGAACTTGATTCTTAAAATTTTGCACAAATTATTTTAATATTCATCTGAACATTTTGGAAGAAAAAGTGCGGACTTTCATCTGGGGAGCTTGAAGCCCCCACATGAATCAAATAGAAAAATTCTTATATCGTATATCTTCAAATTTTACATGAAGAACTTTGACATTCATGTGAATATTTAGAGCATAACGGTCGGACTTTCAATGGGTGGCTTGGCACAACATACATGAATAAAATATAAAATTTTGTGTATCTTGGAAACTCTTATATTATTCAAATTTTTCATAGATAGAAATTGGTGATGGATAGAAACTGGCGACCTTGCAATAATTTGCTTGACATCTGTCATATGAAACATATTATAAATCTGAAAAACTATTGTAGTTAGAATCTTCAAAATCGTTGTGTTTTTTATTTATACATATTGATTTTAGGGTAGCAAAGCACACTGGGTATAGCTAGTTGTATATAGCATTAATTCGTATAAATAAAAAAATAACTTACATCACAGTCCTCTTCATCCCATAGAAATTTACAATTACTACGACCATTACACTTCAGATTTCCAGCAATGCATGTGGCATCTTCACAATCGTATTCATCCTCGGTGCAACCTATATGAAACAGAAAAGATGGAAATTAAAAAACGACCAAGTAAATGTCAACTAATGGGTCCGTGAGAGTTTGCAAGGCTTTAAATAAAACAAATCATCCAGTATCTTCACCCAGCTTAATTTCTAACATACTTACTAACTTACTAACTTACCAACTTACTAACTTACTAACTTACTAACTTACTAACTTATTAACTTACTAACTTACTTACTAACTTACTTACTAACTTATTAACTTACTAACTTACTAACTTATTAACTTACTAACTTACTAATTACTAACTTACTAACTTACTAACTTACTAACTTATTAACTTATTAACTTACTAACTACTAATTACTAACTTATTAACTTACTAACTTACTAACTTACTAACTTACTAACTTACTAACTTACTAACTTATTAACTTACTAACTTACTAACTTACTAACTTACTAACTTACTAACTTATTAACTTACTAACTTACTATCTTACTATCTTACTACTTACTAACTTACTAACTTACTAACTTACTAACTTACTAACTTACTAACTTACTAACTTACTAACTTACTAACTTACTAACTACTAACTACTAACTACTAACTTACTAACTTACTAACTTATTAACTTACTAACTTATTAACTTACTTACTTACTAACTTACTAACTACTTACTAACTTACTAACTTACTAACTTACTAACTTACTAACTTACTAACTTACTAACTTACTAACTTACTAACTTACTAACTTACTAACTTACTAACTTACTAACTTACTAACTTACTACTACTAACTACTAACTTACCAACTTACTAACTTACTAACTTACCAACTTACTGACTTACCAACCTACTAACTTACTATCTTACTAACTTACCAAATTATTTATCTGCAAACTTACTAACTTTTTACCTTACAATTAATTTCTCAAACACTTATCATCATCAAGTAGGGAATATACTTAAAATAAATATGTATGTGTGTATGTACTTGTATTTTTGTACACTCTCACAACATCATTATATTCATAATTTATTGGCTCAATTATTTATTGTATTTGTAATAGCTGAATCAAACACTACACAATGAGTGAACAGAATTAAAAGAAAGTTTTCTAATGCAAAGTAACTGCAAATATTCTGTTAGCTATTTCTATGTTATCTTCTGATTTTACCCTTTACATTTCCCTTAGTGCATTAGTAATAAGAATGGTATACAATACAAATGACTGTCATCCGACTTGTCATCATTGTTATCAGCAGCATCATGTTTAACTATACAACCTTAGAGATATAAAAACTTGTACGTTTTCATTTGCTTTTATTTTGCCTTCTGTAAACAATAATACAAATAACAAAACCGGCAACAGACAAAAAATACAAAATATCAAAAGTAAATTTTTTATATCACATTGAATTTTAGTTTTAAAAACACCAACACAGACACACTAGCATAATCTACACAGATACCCATTCTTATTGTATACATTTGAATACAAACATTTGTTTTCATTTATTTTATATAGATTTCGATTTTGTTCTATTTTTTTATACGTTTCGGATTTGTTTGTTGGCTTTTGCTTGTAATTGTTGTTGTTGTTGTTATACTTACTCGAACTTCCACGTTCTCTAAAGGCGGTGTATAAAATGGAAAATGTTGAATTGATGGCACTTTGCTCGGCATAAAACCGCACATGCAATATATTTGAATCTGATGTGATGCCTTCACCAGCAGAGCCACAAAAGTTTTTAACTCTATGCAGGAGCGAAAAAAAAAGATAAAAAAATAGAAGAAACAAAAAAAAATTAACTTTTTGTGTTAGAAAATAAATAAAAAAACATTGTTGAATTCTGCAGGAGGAAAAATGTAAATGTACATTAAAAAAGAATAGCAAATAAAAACTATATACCTAAAAAGAAATTATAGTCGATAAAACTCGACTTTATGAGATCCTACACGGATACTTAATAATTTTCAGAAGCAGTTCTTATCTTATGTTGTGGATCGATCGTCACAAAAAATCTTTTTTTAATGAATTTGATCTCTGTTTGTACTTTAAGATGTCCTATAGACATCTTAAAGTACAAACAGTACAGTATGCGTTGTATCACTAGAGTGTAGGGTGAAATTAAAAATATAGATCGAATAGAATGGATTTATACAGTTGGTTTTGTTGTATGTATTCGTTTGTTTATAAACGATAATCGCTGTTGTGTGATTTTTGTTAAATCTTTTGCCACAGTTGTAACACAGAGGTGGGTTTCGTCTACAGGATTGTTAAAATAGAAATCCAGTTACAAGTAGCTTAAACTTGTGTACAAAAAACGGCAGTTATACAGAAAAATATTTTCCAGATTTTTTTCTTCTGTTTTTATTGTTGTTCCTTTACAACTACAATTTACATCAATCACTTCACTTTGTTGCTTCAATAAACAATTCAAATGATGCAACAATTTTTTGGGAGAGGGAGATTGAAAAGCAAAAACACACGGATTTTTACAATTTGACAAAGCAATGGATTTTTTGTTTTTTTTTTGTAATGTTTTTAATAAGGAAATATTTTGGTTAATGTTGCAGAACGTATTTAGACCTAGGTACATAACCAATAGTAAAAAAAATATTATGTTTTAAGCACTTTGACTGCAAAATCATGAAAACGTAAATTTAGTAAATTTTTAACAATCTTACGTTTGTAAAACAAATAATATATCAATCTAAATCCCTTTAATTTTCATAACATTCATTTAAAGCACAAATATCAAATTTATGGATGATTAAGCAATAAACAATTTAGAAAACGATTCGTATACCAAATTTATTGGACATGCAGGCATCATTAAATAGAATCCAAGGCGATTGATATGCATTACAAACATAAGCGCAAAATATTATTCACGGTGTAGGATATGATAATGTTCATTTCCTTTACTTTAATTTAGCTAAATACACCCTTAAACATAATTGAATTTAACGCCCAGAAATTGAATGATTTATTTCAATATTTAAAGAAGTGTGTAACACAGTTTCACGGCTAGTATTATTTGCACAGTTATTAAGTATCAATCAATACATTAATGTTCATAGGAATAGCATATGAAAATGGCAGCGTTAAGTATAAGAAGAAATAGCTAGTATTTTTAGCCCAACACTGTACAATAAACACACATCAATCATCAATTCAATTGTTTGGGGGCAACGTCAATGACGAAACGAAAAAGTAATCGACTGAATGAATGAAATTGATTGTAGAAATGAAAATGAATGCAATACCACCGACAGCAATATTGATTCCAGCCAAAGAATACGTTCATTGACACGATGACGACGACCGTAAATGATAAGGCAGACGTTGAAATTAGAAAATGCCGTGTAAACTAAGAAGGGAAAAAACCCGCAACCAGAAACATACTATTTTTATACCCTACTTTAGCAAATAACATAGCTTTGTGTTTGAATCGTACATAAATTTGGTCCAGTCTATTTATTAAACAGCCATCCGTTCCTAAGGTTTTTAGAACTAAATAAGAACTGAACTACAACTGAACACGAACTGAACTAGAACTGAACTAGAACTGAACTAGAACTGAACTAGAACTGAACTAGAACTGACTAGAACTGAACTAGAAACTGAACTAGAACTGAACTAGAACTGAACTAGAACTGAACTAGAACTGAACTAGGACTAACTGAACTAGAACTGAACTAGAACTGAACTAGAACTGAACTAGAACTGAACTAGAACTGAACTAGAACTGAACTAAACTGAACTAGAACTGAACTAGAACTGAACTAGAACTGAACTAGAACTGAACTAGAACTGAACTAGAACTGAACTAGAACTGAACTAGAACTGAACTAGAACTGAACTAGAACTGAACTAGAACTGAACTAGAACTGAACTAGAACTGAACTAGAACTGAACTAGAACTGAACTAGAACTGAACTAGAACTGAACTAGAACTGAACTAGAACTGAACTAGAACTGAACTAGAACTGAACTAGAACTGAACTAGAACTGAACTAGAACTGAACTAGAACTGAACTAGAACTGAACTAGAACTGAACTAGAACTGAACTAGAACTGAACTAGAACTGAACTAGAACTGAACTAGAACTGAACTAGAACTGAACTAGAACTGAACTAGAACTGAACTAGAACTGAACTAGAACTGAACTAGAACTGAACTAGAACTGAACTAGAACTGAACTAGAACTGAACTAGAACTGAACTAGAACTGAACTAGAACTGAACTAGAACTGAACTAGAACTGAACTAGAACTGAACTAGAAACTGAACTAGAACTGAACTAGAACTGAACTAGAACTGAAACGAGAACTGAATCTAGAACTGAACTAGAACTGAACTAGAACTGAACTAGAACTGAACTAGAACTGAACTAGAACTGAAACTAGAACTGAACTAGAAAACTGAAACTAGAACTGAACTAGAACTGAACTAGAAACTGAACTAGAACTGAACTAGAACTGAACTAGAACTGCACTAGAACTGAACTAGAAATGAACTAGAAACTGAACTAGAACTGAACTAGAACTGAACTAGAACTGAACTAGAACTGAACTAGAACTGGAACTAGAACTGAACTAGAACTGAAACTAGAAACTGAACTAGAACTGAATCTAGAAACGGAACTAGAACTGAACGAGAACTGAACTAGAACTGAACTAGAACTGAACTAGAACTGAAACTAGAACTGAACTAGAACTGAACTAGAACTGAACTAGAACTGAACTAGAACTGAACTAGAACGGACCTAGAACTGAAACTAGAACTGAAACTAGAACTGAACTAGAAACCTGAACTAGAACTGAACTAGAACTGACAGACTGACTAGAACTGAACTAGAACTGAACTAGAACTGAACTAGAACTGAACTAGAACTGAACTAACTAGAACTGAACTAGAACTGAACTAGAACTGAACTAGAACTGAACTAGAACTGAACTAGAACTGAACTTTAACTGGAACTGAACTAGAACTGTACTAGAGCTCGAACTGAACTAGATCGGAACTGAACTTGAACTGACTTTTAAGTATTAAAACTGGTTTGAAATATTGTAGGGTAGCATACAGTCTGATGTACTACTCATTCCGAATTGTTTACTGTGTTAACAACAATTAATTACTCATTTCGCAGACAACACCCATTACAAGAGCCTTCAACACACTTTACATTTGGTATCTTAAAAAAAAAACAACAAATCAACTAAAGCTGTTGCTTCTGTACTTCAGATTAATCAATTACTATAAATTAATTCTTTGAAAATTTAATTTCGAGTTGCTTATTAATGCAAATTTGCAAAAATCATTTAAAGAACTTACCTTAAAGGCATTACGGTTTGTTCTGGAAAAATATCCAAAAAATTCGTTTCACAGTCATTAGGTTTTGCTAATTTAAAGTCTACAAATTTTACTTGTATCTGAAAATGACAACAAAAAAAGAAAAAGTAAAAATTAAAGGACACATTTTTGCATAACTAACATACATAGTATTGATATTGTTGAACCAAAAATAGAAATGGAGAAAAAAATTAGCCTAATAAAAGGCAAACAAGTAAATTTGAGCAGAAGAAAAAAAATTAGCATATAAATCAATATACCCGGAATGTTAAACATTTTAGGATAGTAGAAACCAAAAGCTACATAAATATAGTTATTAGTTACTTGCCAAAATTTACATGTATTTGATTTGTAGATTTACGAAATATATGTTAGATATGAAAGAGGAAAAAAAGATAAATGAACATACCTTCCATTTCTCCTGCACCTGTATACGCCACATGCAATCCAAAGGTATTTTATTACGAATAACTGTATCTTTTATCTCTGTTGGCACATCCGTAGCATTAACATAACCCTCAAAGCCATCTCTTTCAATTGTGCAATTTAAATCAGTACTGGGTGCTGGTATTCATTTTTTATTTAATTTTTTTTGTAAAAAAAGAGAGAAAGAATAGTAGAAAAATATAATAAGAAAGAAAAAAAGTTCGTTTTCATAAATATAAATGACCATAAAATTGGGTTAAACATATGTACAGTGAGTAATATGTAAAATGGGTTTTTTTGGAATTTAAGGAATAAATTAAATTATTTTATAAATGATTTAAGTACTTACAAAATCTAAAAAATATGTTTATAAAAAGATTTTGAGAATTGTTTTAGGTATAATAACTAAATAAGAAAGTTATTGTGTAATCCTATTTTGAATTCAATAAAATTTTACAGTGTTATAAAATTAAAGTAAGAAAGTTTGAAATAAATTTTTAAAAAATTTATTGAAAAGTTTAAAAACATAGATCATTTTATTTCATTGGGCCACACTGTGAGTATAAATAAATTTTACTTTCACAAAATCTATAACAAACCCATACGTCCAATATTGACGATAATAATAATGATGATGATGATGATTGCCTGATAAATGTTTATATTTCCATACCAGTTGATTTCGTTTCCCAGGGAAACAACTAAGAAACCAACACTTGTTTTTATTTGTGAAATTGTTTGTCAAAGATTTGTTGTGAATACATTTTGCTGTAGTTTTGTTTGGTTTAATATATTATAATAAAGGGTGTCCTATCAGATTAGCATTAAACATAGGGAATGTTAGTTGAAATATAAAAGTATATTGATAAATAAATACAAGTATTTAATCACAGCAAAAAACGGTAAGGACTTGTTTTACTTGTGACTTTGACTTACTTTTGAATGACCACTAATTACTGTCTGTACTGTACTTTTTATACCCACCATCAAAAAAGATGGGGGTATATTGATTTTGTCATTCCGTTTGTAACACATTGAAATATTAGTCATAGACCCACAAAAGTATATATATTATATTCTAAGACGATCTAGTCATGTCTGTCTGTCCGTTCGTCCGTCTGTCTGTCTGTTGAAAGCACGATAGAGTCCGAACATAACGAGATAGAGGATTTAAATTTTCCACAAATATTCTCTATAGGTAAGGTTTGTTTGGTATTGAATGGGCAATATCGGTCCAAGTTTTCAGATAGCCTCCATACAAGTGGACCGCCGAAAAACAGCTTTAATGGGCATATCTGTTTCAAAAGTACGAGTATAGCGATGAAATTCGACATAAATAAGTTTCATATGATCCAAAATCTTCCTACCAAATTTTATGAGGATCGGTCCATAATCGGTCCTACCCTCATATAAGGCCTCCTTCAGAAAATTACTTTAACGCTCATTACTGGCTTAAAAATATGAGTATAGTGATGAAATTCAACACACATAAGTTTCAATGTATCCAAAATCTCTATATCAAGTTTTATGTGGATCGTTCCATAGTTGACCCTACCCCCATATAAGGTCCCGTTCAAAAAATTAGTTTAACGCTCATTGCTGGCTTAAATATACTAGTATAACAATGAAATTTGACATAAGTAAGTCTCATTTGATCCAAAACCTCTCTAACAAATTTTACGTTGATTGGTACATAATTGACCCTACCCCCCATATAATGTTCCCTTCACAAAATGACTTTAACGCTCATTAATGGCTCAAAAATACGAGTATAGTGATGAAATTTAACACACATAAGATTCATATGATCCAAAACCTCCCTACCTAATTTTATGTTGATCGGCCCATAATTGACCTTTCAGAATATGACTTTAACGCTCATTACTGGCTCTAAAATATGAGTATAGTAATGAAATTCGACACACATCAGTTTCGCTGAAGCCAAAATCTCTTTATTAAACTTTATGTGGATAGGTTCATAATTGACCCTACTCCCCATATAAGATGCCCTTCAAAAAATTACTTCAAAAAATTGTACTGTCAATAGCTTTACTTTTACTTATGCAGATAAAACATATATTAAGCAGAGTCTACCCAGAAAGTAATGAAACGGTGGGTTTGACCACAAAAAGTCTCTGGGGGGTGACTTTAGCGACAGCAGAATAAAAATCCTCAAATTGAGTAAGTTCTATGATGGCATGTGTTCTCAAATAGCAAAAAGAAGAGCTTCCAACGAAGCGAAAAAGAAGTAGAATTTACTCCATGGAAGTACTGAAAAAGACCTGAAGAAGTGATGATTTTAACACAGGCTTGTCATAGGAGGGATGTCCTATTTATTTGATTCCAAATTTACTACTTCTGAAGTCATTCTCAAGAAGTAATTTTTATGCTCTTGTTTGGAAGTTATTCGGAAGAGAAATTGTATTATTATAGAATACAACTAATTTGATTTAAATAATATTAACATTAAATTAAATTTTTTATCTCACAAAAATGTAAGAACAAAAAAATATCTTCAGCATTGAAAAAAATAGAATTATTTTCGCTTCATCGGAAGTCATTAAACATCTAATTGCTACTTTTGAAGTGGTGATAAATGTTGTTCTTTTGAAAGTACTTCGTTTTATTTTTGCTGGGCAGTAAACATACAGGATTACGGGCACAACTACACACATTTGCACTAAATGATTTAGACGAATATAGAGCATACGAAAAGGAGAACACTTCCTTTTTCTTTGACAGTCTTTTGTCAAAATAAGATCAAAATATTTTGAGAGCAATGTTAGAGAAACGTCGCCGATAGCGGCCTAGGTTTATTTCTTCGGGTCTGATGTAATATTTATCTTCCTCTCAACCTGACCTATAATGATTTTTAAAATGTTTTTGATCTAGTGATAACAATTTATGAGCTTTACAGATTTCAAGAACCAAATTCAGAACAAACCCCCAAAAAAGATTTACAGCTTTACCATTGATTTAAACTGAATTGAACTCCCTGTCCACATTTCCAAAGATTTCTCTTTAGTTTCGTAGTCTCAAGGTTATTTATTTTTTTCTAACCTAAAATAAAAACTCGATTTAGTTGCCTTGACAAAGTATCCAATAAAATATGTTTCATGCAAAAGTTATGGTAGTCTTAAGTGTATGTGATTTGTAAAATGTCAACTGTATGTATGATGATGTGGAAAATCATATATTTAAAAATAACTAAACGATCAGATATGTTTATTTATGCTTAAAATACGTTTTTACTAACAGTATGTCATGAAAATATGTGAACAGTTGTTATATTTAGGATAAACATATCGTTAGCTAACTCGCATTTAGTTTTAAATTAAACTAAAAACATAAAACTATACTGCAATCTTAAAAATTAATGACATACCTCATAGTTAAACCCCTGCCTTAATGGTCCTATGATCCCAACCGGATCTTAAGGAATTAATAATAATCCCCTACCTTATCGGTTCTGAATTTAAAAAATGCCATTAAGCATGAATATTTGAATAGTTCGTCTATAAATCTAAGTATCGCTGAAATCGGTCTAGTGTAATTATCTAAGGGTCAAAGGTAACATATTAAGGATTTCTCTTTATAAATTTCAATAAAATTTCCATTATTTCTAATATTTATTCTCAAATAAAAAAATTACAGAGGCCGACAAAATTTGAAAAAAAGTCGAAACTCTGAGACAAAGTTATGGATTTGAGATATCGTGTCCTGAAATTTAAAAAAAAATCCCATTTTTGGCGCTTTTTGAGAAGTTATAAGAGCGCCAGGACATCTTTATTTATAAAATGTTATATGCCATCTGAAAGTCCATTCTATCAGCTTTAAAATAAAGGCTTAACATTTAACATATCTTTATACTTTGAGATATCTTCATCTAAAGCTTGAAATCTCATGCTTATCGGTATATTCATGGTATTTATAACCTACACTACTATAGTGCGGAGGGTATTATCTCCGCACTATGTATAGTAGTGTAGGATATTCCAATCGACTTAAAATCAATTTTTGGTTAGACTTAACGTTGTCTGTCCGTCCGTCAATTTCAACGGATGATATCTCAACGGAGTTTTTTCAATCTTCAGGACACGACATCTGAAATCCCAGATATTATGGAATTTGTCGGACTGTGTTATTGTTAGACTCATATAAAAACAAGTAAGAAAGTATAGTCGGACGGGGCCGACCATATGATACCCTACACCAGTTATGAATATTAAATGTGATTTATTTTTCATAATAAAGCATTTATCTTCAATATTCCCTTGTTCCGATACATTTAAGCAATTTACGGATGAAAAACTAATTTTCTGAAAGAGGCTTTATATGGGGGCTAGGGGCAAATATGGACCAAGCCCGATAAAATTTTGTGAATATATTTATATTTACATAATATTTTATTGTGCTGAATTTTATCGCGATATTTGTGTTTATAAGTTAATTTGGGACATTCAAGTAATTTTCTGAAGAGGACTTTGTATGGGAGCTAGGGTCAAATGTGGCCCGATCTTTATGAAATTTGGCATAGTCATCAAGACTTCTATAAAACTTAGTTGTGCCGTATTTTATCGTTATATCTGTATATTTAACATAATTATGAGCTCAAAGCCATTTTCGGGGGGTTCTGTTCTATGGGGGCTAGGTGAAATAATGGACCGATTTTAACCATTTTCAATACGCTTCGTCCTTAGGTCAAATAAAACGTGCGTGCCAAATTTCATCCAATTATTTTGAAAATTGCGACCTGTACCTTGCGCACAAGGTTACATGGACAGGCAGCCTGCCAGCCAGACGGACGGACGGACATAGCTTAATCGACTCAGAAAACGATTCTAAGCCGATTGGTATACTTTAAGGTGGGTCTAGGACGAATATTTTTGTATGTTACAAACATCAGCACAAATCCAATATATATATATAATATAATAAAGTGGTGTAGGGTATAAAAAATCTGCAAAATTGTGTGGGCCGTTTACATGTTCAAATGACATAAGGTAATATATACTGTACACTATCAACTTTAAATAACTTTCAAATAGCAGGGCAATTGATAACATTATGTTTAGGTTTAGTTAAACTTTGAATAAATAGAAAAACATGAAAAATTATGTGGAAATTTTCTATTTGCATAAGTTATAATACGTATACTTAGTCATATAAGGGACGAGTGGGAAAAAGATTGATATGAAAAGCATAAACCAAAAAAGCTTTAAACAAGTTGTATATATAGAAAAGCACTTTATGATGAATGACTAAACAATTTGAATTCAATTGATGTTTGGTTTATCTATATATATAAAAATGAATGTGTGTTTGTTTGTATGTTTGTATGTTTGAACGTTATAGACTACTAAACGGCTGAACCGATTTTCTTGAAATTTTCACAGCATATTCCTGCATGTCTGGAATAGGTAATAGGCTACTTTTTATTTCGAAATTTCAAGTGGGCGATGAGCCACGCCCACATTAAGAAAATATAAAATCCATATATTTTAGATAATATAACAGTTAGAGTCCTCAAATTTTGTCGGAGCCACTTTAGTGTCAATATGATCATTTAGGACAAAAAGTAGGCGGACTAGCATTAGGGGGCGTGGTACCTCCCATATAAATTAAATACAAAAATTCGTTTATCTGGGAAACTAATAGAACTAAATTCTTAAAATTTAGCACGAAGAACTTTAACATCCATATAAACATTTTGGGTAATAAATTGGCGGACTACCCATGAGGGGAGCGGCACCTCCCATATTAATTAAATACAAAAATTCGTTTATCTGGGAAACTAATAGAACTAAATTCTTAAAATTTTGCACAAAGAACTTTAACATCCATATAAACATTTTGGGTAAAAAATTGGCGGACTACCCATGAGGGGAGCGGCACCTCCCATATTAATTAAAAACAAAAATTCGTTTATCTGGGAAACTAATAGAACTAAATTCTTAAAATTTTGCACGAAGAACTTTAATATTCATCTGAACATTTTTAAGGAAAAAAGAGCGGACTTTCATCTGGGGGGCTTGGAGCCCCCATATGAATAAAATAGAAAAATTCGTATATCTGAGAAACAATTAGAGCTAGAATCATTAAATTTTACTTGAAGAACTTTGACATTCACCTGAACATTTAGAATATAACGGGCGGACTTCCAATGGGTTACTTGGTACCTCCCATATGAATTAAATACAAAATTTCGTTTAACTGGGAAACTAATAGAACTAGATTCTTCAAATTTTGAACAAATTATTTTAATAATCATCTGAATATTTTGGAGGAAAAAGGGCGGACTTTCATCCGGGGGGCTTGAAGCCCCCACATGAATTAAATTCGTATATCTGAGAAACTATTAGAGCTAGAATCTTAAAATTTTACATGAAGAACTTTGACATTCATGTGAACATTTAGAGAATAACGGGCGGACTTTCAATGGGGGGCTTGGCACCACATATATGAATTAAATACAAAATTTCGTGCATCTTGGAAACTCTTATATTATTCAAATTTTTTGTAGATAGATAGAAATTGGCGATAGATAGAAACTGGCGAACTTGCAATAATTTGCTTGACATCTTTTATATGTAACATATAATAAATCTGGTATTTATTTATACATATTCCTTTTAGGGTAGCAAAGCACACTGGGTATAGCTAGTAGAATATAAAAACATATTACATAATTCTTACACCCAATGATGTTAAAATGAGATCTATTCATAACTATATAAATTGTTGTTGATTTTTTTTTACACCAATCATTCATTCATTAATTACAAAACATACTTTTATGTTTTAATACATATAAAAAGGGAAAAAACGTAAATTTTACACATTTACAGTTTAAGGTATAAAAAGAAATAAATAAAACTTACCATCACGATTTCGATCAATAAATTCATAGACCGCTGTGAAGCCAGAATATTCAATACTTTCGTCTGAGTGAAAATGTAACCAAAGATAGCGTTCCTTTGATGTTATTTCAGGTGGGAAATCAGTACCACAATATTTTCCGATTAAATTCGAAAAACCATATTGTCCATCACGTATCTGTTATAAGAGTTGGGTATCGAAGGTATAGCATCAGCAGCAAACATCAGGTATCAAGATGCATATAAATGATAAAGAATAAAAAAAATGAAAATAAATCAGTAACGTTGAAGAGAAAATGTAGAGTTCTTTTTTTAAATGTAATATATTAGCAAAGAAGAAGAAGGAAATTAAGAAAATAAGTATTTGACTTTAAAAAGGAAGAAATTCTTTAATATGATTTCCCCAAAAAAGTCATCAAAATTAAAGTGAACTCAAATAAAGTTCCTTTTCTGTATTGGCCCACTATTTAAGAAATAAATCGGTTTGTTTCATCAATAAGACTATTATTTAAGAAACTATAGGCAATTTTTTGTTTTTCATACAAATTTAATGAAAACCAATTTTTGATAAACTTGGATTAATGATATTATGTGCCAAATATACTTTTAACAAAAAAGTAATTTTGATCATATAATTTGGTTAAAGTAATCATAACACAAAAAGAACTAATTAAGTAAAATTAAGTTATTTAGGTATTCCAAATATGTATCAATAATGTAAATTTCATTCTTTAACCATTTACGCTTAAATTTGTTTCTTTTTTTTGGTAAATATTTAAAAAATCGCCTTAATTGCTACTGAATAAAGAATGAACAAGAATATTAATAACTTGATTGTCAACAATAAATAAATTAAGAAGATTTTCCAACTGTCTATACTTAAGTAGAAATGAATGCCAATATTCTTATCATTATAGTATCTTGGTCGAAAAGGACAATATAAACAAACATATTGCAATTTGCAAGAAACATATGAAACGTATACTTGTTATTGATTTAAATTAAATAAATATTAAGTATACGCCACAGTAAATAAACTTATTAACATACATACACACATTTCTATATAAATATTTCCCAGAAAAATCTCTCTTTAAAGACACTTATTGCTGTTGAAAATAAATCGTTGAAAAAAAATATTTCACAAATTGGAAACAGTAAAAACAACAAATATGAAGAAACGTACAAAAAAAATATTGTCAAGTCAACATAATTTAAGGAATAAAATGGTACGATTGTAGTAAAGGGAGTAAACAACATCTGTGGCAGGATGTAATTTTTTTTTTTTTTTGGTATTTTATTTTTCATTTTTCTTTTTAACAATATGTTTTTTTTTTACTGTTCTCAACTGCTGTATAGATATGTTATTATTGAAACTACCAAAAAAATAAAATAAATAACAAATGGAAAAACTGTAGCAGCACAATAGTTTTACATCATCTTGATAAAAAAAAAAAAATAATAAAATTTGTATGCTGCGCTGAATACTTTAAATGAATTTCACTTTATGTTTTTTCATAGTTTTATGATTGTATTTTATTTATTTATTTATTTTTGCTGATAGTAGGGAATGCCATAAAATAATTGAATTTCTATATTTTTAGAATATTTTTAAAATTACTACTAAAAACACTTAAATGTTTAGTAATACATGGTAGTGCTTTGAAAGGGTTAAATATTCTATAGATTATCCTATGGACTTCTTTATTGACTGGTCTAATGATTAATGTATGGACTATTCTAGTGAGCAGTATATGGACTAGTATATTGACTAGTCTATGAACTAGTTAATGGGAAAGTTTATTAACTAGTTTACTAGCTAGTCTATGGACTAATCTATTGACTAGTTCAAGGACACTATATTGACTAAACTATGGCCTAGTCCATTCTATGTCTACGGACTCCCATATTGACGTGTCCAATAACTATTCTATTGACTAATCTATGGACTACTCTATTAACTTGGTCCTGGGCCGACTATTGATTAGTCTATGACTACTATATGTCTACTTAGAGGGCTTATCTGTTGACTACTTCGAAGACTAGTTTATTGACTAGTTGGATAACCAATCTAATGGCTACTGGACTAGTCTATAGAATAGTCTATGGACTAGACCAGTTAATAGTCTATGGACTAGCCTACTGACTAGTTTATGACATTGTCTACTGAGTAGTCTATGGACTAGCCTACTGACTAGTCTATGGACTACCCTACTGACTAGTCTACGCACTAGCCTATTGGCTAGTCTATGGACTAGCCTATTGACTATTCTATGGACTAGCCTATTGACTAGTATATGGACCAATATATAGACTAGTCTATTGATTAGTATGTGGACTAGCCTATTGAGTTGTATATGGACTAGCATATTGATTAGTACATGGACTAGCCTATTATCTAGTACATGGACTATCCTATTGATTAGTATATGGACTAGCCTATTGACTAGTATATGGACTAGCCTATTGACTAGTATTTGGACTAGCCTATTGACTAGTCTATGGACTAGCCTATTCACTAGCCTATAGACTAGCCTATTGATTAGTATATTGACTAGCATATGGACTAGCATATTGACTAGCCTACTGACTAGTCTATGGACTAGCCTATCCTATTGATTAGTATATGGACTAGCCTATTGACTAGTATATGGACTAGCCTATTGACTAGTATTTGGACTAGCCTATTGGCTAGTCTATGGACTTGCCTATTGATTAGTATTGATTAGTATAGCGTATTGATTAGTATATTGACTAGTATATGGACTAGCCTATTGACTAGTCTATGGACTAGCCTATTGACTAGTCTATGGACTAGCCCATTGATTAGTATATGGACTAGCCTATTGACTAGTATATAATCTAGCCTATTGACTAGTATATAGACTAGCCTATTGACCAGTCTATGGACTGGCCTATTGACTAGTACATGTACTAGCCTATTGACTAGAATATGGACTAGCCTATTGGCTAGTATATGGACTAGAATATTGACTAGCATACTGACTAGTCTATGGACTAGCATACTGATTCTTCTATGGACTAGCCTATTGGCTAGTCTATGGACTAGCATAGTGACTAGTATATAGACTAGCCTATTGACTAGTATATGGACTAGCCTATTGACTAGTATTTGGACTAGCCTATTGACTAGTCTATGGACTAGCCTATTGATTAGTATATGGACTGGCCTATTGACTAATATATGGACTTGCCTATTGACTAGCCCATTGACTAGTCTATGGACTAGCCTATTGACTAGTCTATGGACTATCCTATTGACTATTATATGGACTAGCCTATTTACTAGTCTATGGACTAGCCAATTGACTAATCTATGAACTGGCCTATTGACTGGTCCATGGACTAGCCTATTAACTATAATATTGACTAGTCCCTTTTACTAGTTCAATGTCTAGTCGTCTGAGTAATTCGAGGACTAGTTTATGAACTAGTCTACTGACGACTTCATAGTTCATGGACTAGTCTAGCCTTTGTTCAAGTATTTTTCCTGTATCTTAAAAATTTTCAAATATAACCAAAATTTTCATTTCGTCCAAATATATAAAATATTTCCCGAAAAATATTACTTTATTCTGAGAATATAAATGCAAATATATATAGAATTTGCATGCTAAATTTATGCTTTAGCATTGAATTGTTAACGTCTGTGCAGACTAAGTGAAAAACATATGAAAATAAAAATTATTATATTTTTATACACAAAATGAAAAATGTGACCAATTTTAAAACTTAAAAACTACTTCAAATATTTTTCTCCTTAACATTTATTTCATTTTTATAGCATGTTAAAAGTTTATTAAAATGCCAGCAGTTTTGAAAAACTTGAAAAACTAAATGCCATGTCGGTCACATTTCCTTATTTTCTATTCAAGTACTAGAATGTGAAATCTTCAAACTGCCACTTGTTTTACTCATATGTAGAATAAGTTTGTATGTAGCAAATTTTGTAACCCGGTTTTTTTTTAATTTCTTTTAAAATTATTTTCATATACAATATTTTTTAGTTTTATTTTTGCATTTTAGTTTTCATTTTGTTTATGTTGCCTTTGGCTAATTTATGTAATACATTGGAATTTCTTGTTTTTTTTTTCTATGGAAAAAGTAACATATTTTTGTATTTTTTTAAGGACAACATTCATTTACTGCACTCAACTGGAAAATTTACTATAAATATTTCAAAAGAACAAGAATTTAAGTTGAAAATATCTACAGTAAAGGAATAGAAAAATATGGAAAACATATAAATATTATATAAATATGTATGTATGTATGTATGTATGTATGTATGTATGTATGTATGTATGTATGTATGTATGTATTCTCTAGAAGCCCTTTTACTATTTGGTAGTTTCTCAGTTGATGTTGATTGAGTGTGTAATTCACTCAAGAACACCTAAAAGGAAATGTTTTAGAAAGTTTAAATTTTCAAGACTCTATAAAACTATTTCAGTTTTATTGACTTGTTTAAAGAAAGTAAATTCCTGATGGAATATTAGGGTTCCAACACTTTGCAAAAAATAACAACATTAATTTAAAATTATTGCTCTAATTATATAATCATCAGTTTAAGGATTATATAGAGTCATATACTAGTCAAATAACTTTAAAATATAGGTACTAAAGTCCAATAGGTAGTTAGACATGTTGTAAAAAATACTGATTTAAATTAGTGCATAAGCCTCTTACTATTTTGCACATTTTCGTGTGTAAATACATATGTTGTTTTATAAGAGTACAAATATACACATGTATTTATGTACGTATATATGTAACTATATGTAGTAAACTCAAATAAACATGTTGTGAGTATTTGAAATTGCCCAAAGCAGCCCTTGACCCACTAAAGAATTTGGAATGAATGGAAGAAAAAAAACACACAAAATAGGAACAGCAACAGCATAAAGAAACAAATGAACAAATTTCAACTTTTATTTCATCTTTTTTATTTAAAATTTTCTTTGTTTTATATAAAATACTAGTTAGGTAATAATCATCATACGTTATTCAACTTTATCACTAACACAACGAACAGTGGTTTGTATAACCTTTTGTATATATGTATCTTTGAAATTTTTGTAGTCCAAGTTAAAGTAAAAATTTCAATTCAAATAGTAAGAGTGAAAGAAATAGCAAAGGCTTTAGAAAAAAACACAAAACATAAAGTGACAAGTGTACCAACTAGTGGCTAATTATTTAAATTTTGAATGAAATGGAGCAAAATTGTTGAAATTTTGCATAGTTTACATATGAAAATCAGTCATGATGAAAAGTCCTTGGATGGTCATGACATCCAAGTAGAAAGTAAAGCATTTTGCAGAATTGAAATTTATTAGAACCGGCCAATAAACGGACGAACATTTCGGTAGGAGAACATCAATTACATCAACATCAATAATGTGTCCTATGGGCCTCTTTTGATAAGCAGAACTCGAATGGACCGAACGTAATGTTACGTTGCCCAAATTGTTTATTGAATTCAATGACCCCGTTTGTATGGAAAAACAAGCCAATGAAGTTCTCACCGAAAATAAAAATTTGGTTCATTGTAAGGTACCATTTGACCAAATTTTTCTCCTGGGGTCAATACCTGGTAAACTGGGACAAAGGATTAAAAGGTCCCATTTTTATAATAGAAATATTAAATTGGTATATCTGAGAAAATATAATAGCTAGAGTCCTCTAATTTAGTATCAACATGAATATTTAAGATATAAAATGGGCGCACTAGTAATAGTGGGCGTGGCACCTGCCATATGAATTATATACACAATTATAAAAAGAAAATATAAGAGTTAGAATCCACAGTTTATGCTCGAATAACATTCACATTCTTGAGAACGTTTAGAAATAAAATGGACGCACTAGCAATAGGGGCGTGGCACCTGTCATATGAGTAATATACACAATTAAAAGAAGAAAATATAAGAGTTAGTATTCTCAAATTTTGCGAGAATAACTTTGACATCCATGAGAACAATTTTGCACTAACAACTTTGATATCCATGAGAGTATTTGGGTACAAAATTAACAGAGTTGCAATAGGGGGCATGGAACCATGGATAACATTGAAAACTTACAATAGGGATGTAAAAACTCCAATATAAGTAAACTAAATTGAAAAATTCATATATCGGGAAAACTATTGGAACTTTTTTTACAATGGTTACTTAATTTTACAATGAAAAGTAGTTATAAATCATAAAATATTTTAAACTATTTGGGAATTCCGAAGCATATTATTAGCCATACCTGGCTACAGATTTAAATCATACCAATGTCTTACTAATCATTTTTTTTATAACTCCTTATATTTTCATCCAAAAAACTATTTGCCAAAGTTATTTTTTAAACTTTAAAGTTTAAAAAGTTTATACAAATTACCCAAATAAACAGTATGAATTGTTAACAATTTACTGAAATAAGAAAAAGCTTATACTCGACCATGAATAATATTTATGAGCATAAGTAGCCACGGCAACAAGATAAAGGAAAATATTTTTCTTAAAGTAGCCAAATAAACACACTCAACTAAAAGGGTTATGAATGTTAATACTTAAAAAACACATGATACCCTTTTTATAATTCATAGTTTACTTTCAACCAAACAATTCTCTAAAAAAAAAAACACTACTTTTTAACAGTAAAAGTAATAAGAAAAATGTTATAAACTTACCTCTAAAAAGTCAAATTTACACTCATCTTTTTCCTCTATATTAAATGAATTGCGAAAATCCAAACGTATAATTTGTCCCTTTGGTGCTGCAAATATGAAAAAAAGAAAAAAAGTTATAATAAAAATGTAACATGAATGGAAAAAAATAACTCACTTAGATAAACTAAAAAGACTTTAGAATAGAAATAATAATGGTACCACTAAAAGGAGCAAACAAAAAAAATGCCAGCAATCTTTTTAAAAAGCACAACTAAATTTGATACTATATACACTGGTGTGGAATGGGAAATATTGTTGAATTTTAGATTAATGTTTTTGAACAAGAACAACAACAACAACCGTTATAGTAAGTAAAAAATGAATATGTATTGTGTACAGTGCAGCAAAGAAAAAGTTGCACCGGAAATGTTATTTGAACAGACAGACGAAATGGAAGTCAAAACCGAGTGTTGTAATGTAAAGTGTGAGTTCATAATTTTTGGACAAGTAAAGTAAAATGGATTTCAAGAAATAAAACAACCTATAACTAAGAACTCGAGTTGACTGGAAAACAGTGTTATCAATTTGAAAATACAACCCTATTAAAAATTGGGGGTATTATTATGAAGATCACAACCAGAAAATAACAACACTAACTAACTAACTAATTAACTAACTAACTAACTAACTAACTAACTAACTAACTAACTAACTACTAACTACTAACTAACTAACTAACTAACTAACTAACTAACTAACTAACTAACTAACTAACTAACTAACTAACTAACTAACTAACTAACTAACTAACTAACTAACTAACTAACTAACTAACTAACTAACTACTAACTAACTAACTAACTAACTAACTAACTAACTAACTAACTAACTAACTAACTAACTAACTAACTAACTAACTAACTAACTACTAACTAACTAACTAACTAACTAACTAACTAACTAACTAACTAACTAACTAACTAACTAACTAACTAACTAACTAACTAACTAACTAACTAACTAACTAACTAACTAACTAACTAACTAACTAACTACTAACTAACTAACTAACTAACTAACTAACTAACTAACTAACTAACTAACTAACTAACTACTAACTAACTAACTAACTAACTAACTAACTAACTAACTAACTAACTAACTAACTAACTAACTAACTAACTAACTAACTAACTAACTAACTAACTAACTAACTAACTAACTAACTAACTAACTAACTAACTAACTAACTAACTAACTAACTAACTAACTAACTAACTAACTAACTAACTAACTAACTAACTAACTAACTAACTAACTAACTAACTAACTAACTAACTACTAACTAACTAACTAACTAACTACTAACTAACTAACTAACTAACTAACTAACTAACTAACTAACTAACTAACTAACTAACTAACTAACTAACTAACTAACTAACTAACTAACTAACTAACTAACTAACTAACTAACTAACTAACTAACTAACTAACTAACTAACTAACTAACTAACTAACTAACTAACTACTAACTAACTAACTAACTAACTAACTAACTAACTAACTAACTAACTAACTAACTAACTAACTAACTAACTAACTAACTAACTAACTAACTACTACTAACTAACTAACTAACTAACTAACTAACTAACTAACTAACTAACTAACTAACTACTAACTAACTAACTAACTAACTAACTAACTAACTAACTAACTAACTAACTAACTAACTAACTAACTAACTACTAACTAACTAACTAACTAACTAACTAACTAACTAACTAACTAACTAACTAACTAACTAACTAACTAACTAACTAACTAACTAACTAACTAACTAACTAACTAACTAACTAACTAACTAACTAACTAACTAACTAACTACTAACTAACTAACTAACTAACTAACTAACTAACTAACTAACTAACTAACTAACTAACTAACTAACTAACTAACTACTAACTAACTAACTAACTAACTAACTAACTAACTAACTAACTAACTAACTAACTAACTACTAACTAACTAACTAACTAACCAACTAACTAACTAACTAACTAACTAATCGGAAAAAAAGCTTTAACTGAACTCTCTCCCAGAGATAAGGTTTACATTATATGGGTACCAGGCCACTCGGTATTTCTGGCCACTCGGTGTACTTCTTCGGATTTACTATACATACTCCTATCTACCAAACCTAACTTAAACTAACTAAATAACTAACTAAGTTTTAGATTAACAAATTTAGAATAGTTTTGACTTTTGTTATGCACTATTTCAATTGTCTTCATATAAATGCATATAATGGAGGTGGTATTTGCGGTTTTATATTTTTCTAAAAAAATATACCACCAACTAACAACAACAGACACTACCAAACCAAAACATTTACACCAAAAAATACGTGTTAAATTTTATGTTCATTTCATTTACTTTCTTTTCAATTTTTTATAACAACAGAACTGAGATTTATATTTATTTCTCTGGTATTTTATCATTTGTAGTTTATGATGGTATTTTAGAGTTATGGTTAAGTTTTGTGTGAATTTTTTTTTAGCTAAATATCATATCAAAATGTAATTACTTTAAATATATTGGTTTGAAATAAAATAAAAAACTCATCAAAAGGTCAGTAACTCCATTGTAACAATAAAAAATTACAATACTGTGGGGGAGATTATTTTAAGTTAGAGAATCTCAGCAAAAACTTTGGGCTGTCTTGCAGTTATACAAGAACTTACATTTCAATGACTACTACATACCGCCTGTATATATGATATAAGTATACATATTACAATGACTTATTTAAGTACTTATTTGTAAGCGAGAGTGTATAGTTCTTGTCTTCAATGAAATTGTTGCTCTAAAATATTCGATATTCATTTATTGGCTTTTTAATAACAATGTCATTGAAAGAAAGAACTTTGAACGATCGCTTACAAATAAGCACTTAAATAAGTCATTGTAATATGTGTAGACTCTATAATAGAAGCCTTTTTTATGATTATTCTGATATGAAACCTTTTACCAATATCTTTTTCATCTAGCTAGGGTATAAAAGAGTTCATCTTGACCCACCATTTCTTTTCTTTAATATTTTACAATACATTATATATTGTTACATTTTTTAATTTATTTCTCTTCGAAAAAAAAAAAAAATATAAAAATTCCTTAAAATTTTCCTTTACATTTAAACAATTTACAAAAAGTCTTCAATTCTAATTTTGTACAAAACACTTTATTTATGAATGACATTTGAAATAATGACCTAAATTCCTCAACTGTCGGTTGGTCTTGTATACAAAACCACAACAAACAATTAAGAATGGAAAACACCAACACACATGAACAAACGAAAAGACTTGGTTTTAAATATTTAAAGTGATTTAGTTTTAAGAACAGAAGAAGAAAACAAATAAATATTTTAGTGTTGATTAAAATGTTCATATTCAGTCAAATGTAACACAAGGATTTTTAAAAGGATTGAATTGAGTGAAATTAACACACGGACATACAAACACTACACTACACAACACTTATAGTTTTAGAAAAATGTCATGCAATGATTTAGTTTTTGTATTTTTATAGAGAAATTTTGCTTGCATGTGTTGTTCTAGTGAAGTTTTGTACATTTATTTTAAGTTGTTTAAGTTGTTGCTAAAGAGAAAATGAACAATTTTAAATAAATTTTTACAAAAACTGAAATGTTAACAATATAAGAGCTTACACGTAGAGAAAAAATGGTTTTAGTATATTACAAGTTTTAAATTGTAAAAAATTTGTATATTTTGGTTATAGTAAACATATTTCTGGTGGACGCAACTATATCTAGTTTATTATTCATATGATTGTTTACTACAATCTTAATTCTAGTCATTATAACGTCAAATCTTTCTGGCAAACATATGCTTGTTTGCAGTAATCATATATATTATGTGACAGCCCTTTAAAATTCATGATTTTTCTCGGTGTATATGTATAAAAAAGATGTCAAAATGAAATAAACTAAGTAAAACAAAACTGATGATATTTTAAAACCCATTAAGGGTTACAATGTTTTGCAAAGTAAAAAAGTACATTATTTAAGTGGAATATATCAGGCAGAACGAAACATAATGAAAAACTTTTTGCAAGACTTCCAAGATGCAGGTTAGGGTGGCTCCATGAATAATGCCTTTAAATGTATTTTTTTCAAATGTAAAAATGTTGTTTGCTGTCATTTATTTGAAACAAATTCTAGAAAATATATAAAAAAGAAAATGTTTTCTTAAAAATATTCTGAAATTTCTTCACAAAATGTTAGTAATTTTTCGCTTTAATATTTGTAATGATATTTCGAAGAAAAACATATATGGTAGATCTAATAATCCCATAGTGAAAAGTTCTCTTTTACAACATGTTGCTTAATAAAAAAAAATATATATAATCATATAAAATAAACTGTCAACAGTTTAACACACATTGTTATCAAACGCTGTAAATGCTACTAAAAATATTGCATAACCTACAACCCTACAGTAAGTAGATTATTAAGTATTTCGAGATGCTTTAGTAACATATCAATAGACCCTAAGGTATGCTAAACGCTTCCACATCACTTTCCAATTCCAACTATTGTTGACCATTTGGCATTGAACATCATAACAAATCATATGGGTACCAGGACACTCGGGTGTCCTGGTAATAGCTTTAAAGGAAAGGGATCTCGAGGTAGTTAACCTGATGAACGCAAAACCATTTGACGCAACAAAAGCTGAATTAAAAATATGGATGAGAGAATCCCATAAGGCCTCTTGGAATAATGAAACGGTGGGTAGAAGCACCAAGATCCTGATGAGAACAAGACGAGAAATCCCCTCAAAATGAGCAAGTCTGAAGTTAGTATGATGGTACGTATTCTGAGTGGACACACAGGATTACGAGCACATGGAGAGGACAGTGAAACTCTGAAACACTTTCTTTACCAGTGTCAAGCATTCGTGGAAGTTAGATCAAAGTATCTTGGAAGTGACGTTATTTCGGAAATAACATTCCTGACTAACACTGATTGGAAAATTCTTAGGAATGACGTCCAGGAAACTGAAAAATAATATACTCAGT